GATTAGGCTCTCTCGCTGACGGCATGTTGACAACAAACCGATCCTCCCAGTCGGTCACAGAGCTTGCAGGTGCTGATATTGGTGAAATCGGATATGACTGGTCGGATGAGTCGGTCGTGATATCTGTCTTCTCGGATGTCGTTGGCTGCGTGGCCTCAGTGGTCGGCAAACTAGGCCCTCGTTCTCCGGTATTTGGACGTTTTCGTTGACCAACGGCTTGAGTATTCTCAGATTTCCAGAAGTTTGTTCCTGGGGAAGGTCGATTGTCAAGGTGTAGGTTTGGAACATCTTTCCGCAAGCCGACGGGTCGTGTATGTATCTTGTCATCCCGGGGTATACCTCCCGTGAATCTCAACTTGTAGTTAGCAATCTCTTGCCTGGGTGAGGTAGCCAATGACACGATCTTCCGATATGCCTCCTGATAGTATTCCTTGTGCTTTTCTTTACTGCGCAGCGGAGCTGGTATCTCCCTCTCGAACCTGTCTCGCACTTTACGCCAGTATTGATCGCCGCCTTTCTCGGCCTGCTTCGGCGCAGCAAGTGACAAGGCCCCCAGAGATCTCTTTGGACGAATAGTGCGATCGCTTTCTTGTTCCTTGGTTTCGGTCACGGGAAGTCGCGTTCCAGCAGATTCTTTGGTCTTGTCGGCGGGGGATTTAGGGAGTGGGAGCTTGGTGGGTTTGGTTCTCCGCGCCGCGGTTTCCGACATGGTCTTCGGGTCCTCGGACTTGGACTGTGTAGATTGTTCGGTTCGCCGACCTGGGATCCCTGTGGCTTGTGCTGGGGGTTTTGCTGCGTCATAGGGTCTGGTGCGCTTGCCACGAGGATTTCGAAGTTGCAGCATGTTATCGCTGTTCGGTAGGTGGAGGGGGTGTTCCATCTTTGACCGCTACTCAATCAGGAAACACCGGCAGCTTCAGGCTGCATCAATCCACCGACCCATTCCCTCTGCGATGGATGTGATGGCGATATCGTTGATTTGGGAGCTGTGCGAGGACTCGTGTGCGGTAAGGTGTACAGTACGATGTGTTGGACGAAAACGAGGCTCGACGGAGCCAGGCGAACATCATGCGAAAAAGGGCTGGGGAAACCAATACTAGACGCGTTCTGCTGAGTGAAAACTAAGGGATAACAGGCGTAATGATATGAGTGGAATGTTGGACGGCCAAGGCTCGCCTCATTGAAGAATGTGTGAACATCTAGGCAGGGGAGGGGGGGTTGACCAATGCGGAATGCGCACCTCAGACTTCTGATACCATTTGGCATGGAAGCCGCACGCAGGTCCGAGTTTCAGTATGCTTCCTGCTGGTCGCATTGGAAAGAAAATTGAGGAAACGACGGAACTCAATAGCCCAGACACCCATCAAGTGATCAGGTGGAGTGCATTGGAACAGCCATGCAACCTTCGCTTCACAGGCAAGTAAAAGTAATTTCGGATCAACAAAAACACGATAAGGCCAACTAAGACAGACGGTCTTCATGATTGCGGAGGATCGAAATGCATATTGTACAGTGGCTGGCTATCGGGAACTCCATTCCCGAAAATGACTGGAAATCTTCAACGCCGCTCTGAGAAGACCTTCTCTCAGAAACAAGGAAAAAGAAAAGAAGGACAAATAAAATCAGATGAACACACTAACGCCGTACTTATGCTTGGGAGTATGCAAAGTCAGGAGGATGAGCCATGACGAAAGTTGATAATATGGTTTGTACAAGAAATACTTTTTGCTGCCAACCTGGTCAAGTGAGGTTTGAGCGTATACCGGATGCTTACAACAAGAAATGGGTTGTTTCACGGCGTGCGCCAGGTTGGCTCCGTCTGGGACCTGGCGTGGCTGGACTTTCCCCTCCAGGCACATTGCTCCGTTTGAGTGGGCTGGACTGCCTTTTCACTGCGCTTGTACCACGCTCTTTGTAGAAAAAGTCTCCGTTACTTTGCAGTCGGCGGTCCAGGTTCGCCGAGACCGATTTCCTCAATGGAGAATTAGCGTGAGAATAAACCCCAAGACTACCTCCGTCGCCAGTAGCGGTTGGGGTTCGTCGAAATTGAGGCTGGCGAATCGATGCAACTGGGTTGCGGACAACAGGGGAAGCATCGCGCAAATGACTAGGTGTCTGGAGGGCACTTGAACGATATGTGGGACCACTAGGTGTACCCGCTGCGGATTGCTGTCCTGACGAGAATCCTTCGGGGTCGATATGTTTGATATAGTTAGGGTTTGGACTCGTCTTGAATCCTCGGTTGATGACGAAGGTTGGTGTGAATGTGTCGACCTTGTTGTGCTTGATATCGGTGTCAGACTCCGAGAATTGAGTTCCAACATCCCTCATCAGAGGTTGGGTTCGAGGATGCACAAATTTGGTATCATACTCGCGGAGAACCTCTTTATGAACCAGCATGTTGTCTTTCGCCTGCTGCGTGTAGGATGAGGACAGGAATGTCATCTGCACTGAAAGCAGAGCTGCCAGAAAGAGAGTGGTCACAATGGTAACGCTGGGACGGGGATCAGACACATGAGTCGGTAGGAATAACCAATAGACTAGAACATGGCCGGGGCTGAACAGGCAGAACAGTCGAATGCAGATGGGGAAAGGATCCCAGACAGCGAGCTCCCAAACATCGCGTTGAGCATCTGGATGCGCTCTCGATTGTGCCGATCCAGACACTACATCGGCCAAGTACCGCAAAGGAGACGCAGTTGTAGGGGTTGAGTCGACTCGCACTCGGTGCGCCGATGGTGTTGCGGGGGCACGATCAATCGAGGCTTCGAAGAGACGATAAAGGCGTTTACGGTAAAAGGTATAGAAGGCGTTGAGGGCGGAAAATGTCGTAAGGAGGTGTACCAAAAAGGAGGCCTATCGATGAACAGGTGAGCGCGCTGCTGGATTTCGAGCCATGTGGGAAGATAGCACGTACCAACCAACTCAGCCAAGGTGTGCTTTCATCGTCGCCAAACACATCATCTATAGCTTGACTGCCCGTTGTTTGACTGTTGGCTCGGGCGATGAGGAAAGTCAGGTTCAGGAGCACACCGAGCGGCAATGCCCAGTCTTTCTCGAATTGATCCCAGTCATGAGTGTCGACCTCCTCGGACAGCCACAATAGAAAGTCTAGAGGGTTCAGGTAGGATGCGATGCGCTCTGTCAACGGGCGGCGGCGCACAAGCCGGGGCATGGTGGGGGCGGCAAGGCTGGTAAGATATGGGGATGTTAATGGAAGTGAGAAGCTAGCTAGACATATGTCCAGAAGAGAGTAGCTGTAGACCGGAAGTTATTGAGGAGCCAAGCTCGTGATAAGCTAATTGAGTCGAAGCCGCAAGTTTTCCTCCCGGCTGTCAACAACAATGAGGGATAAGTGAGTTAATTAGTTAGCGGCCGGTCCCGCTTAGATAAGCAGAGACCGGGGCTTAACTTAGTATGACGACGTCCGATGGATTGAACTTATCGGGATCGAGACTCAACTTACCTTACGGGGCCAGCTGTGCGTCTGTTTCCGCGGGCCTTACTTGGATCATTCGCAACGCCCGACGATTCCGGTCAGACAAGTTCATCTTACACATCCTCCTTCTTACAATAACACCATGTCGGCCGCGGCCGTCTCCTACAAGGTAACCCCCCCCCCCTTTCAAAGCATCCCCGCTCTTGTTGCTTGAGCTAGCCCGCATACTGACCTCCAACGGCCCGATAGGAACGGCAGTTCCTTGCTGTCATCGGAGATGAAGAGTAAAGTCCCTACCTCTCGTCGAACTTTTCTTTACAAGTCACTCGCGAACTGACTGAACGCCCAAAACGTGCAGCTCCGTAACTGGACTTCTCCTCGCGGGTATCGGTGTACGTGTTACCCTGAAGTGACCAAACCGAAGAACATTGGCAGCATGCGACCAGCAACTGACCCTCCGTTGAAGCACGTCACAGATGGCCCGGACGCGCAACGAAACTTTCTGGTCGTAGACTCGAAGACGGAGACCTCTGCGATCGAAAAAGCATTCCACAGCTTCACGCAGGAGCGACAGGATATCGCCGTCCTGCTCATCAACCAACATGTACGTGATAGAACAGTGTGTTATTCGCACACGTTCAATCGCGATGATAGCGATGCCCGGTCGCTGGATGCTCTGATATTGACAAATATACTCAGATTGCGGAACGCATCCGCCACGCCGTCGATTCATATGCCGAGGCTTTCCCCGCGGTCCTCGAGATCCCCAGCAAGGACCATCCCTACGATCCCGAGAAGGATAGCGTGTTGAAGCGGGTGCGCCGACTGTTTGGAGAGTAGATCAGAGACAAGGAGGGACAGGAGATTGTCCGCTAGGCACAATCAATACAAGACTGGATGCTCTATCGACCGTGCTGCATGCGCATACGCTTCCCTACTATCAGTTGTTCCTTTACCTGGTCGCTCCCGCACTGTTATGGAGAACGAATGGTCCCAGAGCGGGAGAAAGATACCCATGATATTTGTTCATAGAATTCCACCTGTCAATGTTGCAAGAGCGTTGCTGATATTCGGAACCTGTCTAATGGTATTACTTTTCACATACCAGTCTCTATGTACACTGTAAACTCTGGATAGAGTGTCTAGCAGTTTGATCTTTGATACACTAGCAGACAAAGTCTCCTCACTGAATCTTGATACACATGTTATTAGTACTATGGTGACAGGGGAAGCCCAACGGTGAACGGTCGTAAAGAATATGACAGTGTGCTATGCCTCTGAGCAAATGCTCCAGAACGCCATAAATAACAGAACGCAGGCGAGGAGGCCAAGTAGTAATGATCGTGAAGCGTAAAACACAAGCTAATGGAGCATTGGTCAACAACAAGCAAATTCACTGGACATAATGACCGTACTAAAAGCATAAGGAGGTCACAGGACGGTTGTCAGCTTGCAAAACGAGCAATCGTGGTCAGTGAAAGAGCTCGTGAACATCTAGCACAATCCACAGCTGATGTGCATCAGAATGAGTGGTAAGCACCCGGAGATATGCTATTGGCATTTAGAAGAGAGAGCCTCTCTTAAACTCAATGTTTCGCGCGTCGAGGCAGGTAATCCGCTCATCATTCACAGACATGACATCGGCATGGACCGTGTATTTGCCCTAAATGATAGATGCCTTGGGTCAGTTTCGATTCGTGGCAGTTAGCGTCTTCATGGTTAGTGAGACGTACCGGAGGGATTTGACTGGGCAGGTCGACCTGCTTTGTCAGGACCAGATCGCCCTTGTCCAAGGGGCATTCGAGGTCAACATTGGTAAGTTGATCGCAGAGATCGGCCTTCTGCCTGATCAGAGTAATCAGACCATATTTGACCTCGAGCAGAACGTAAGCACCCTTCTCAATCGGCTCCTTCAATGTACCACTGGCCTCGATCGTGAGAGTATGGCCACTGCGAAAGATTAGCGATGAATATCACGGAATGACAAGCGGCTGTATCGCAGTAGGACATACGGAAGAGGAGGGTTAGGGGACAAGTCGACTTTCTTGATCTCGAGGACGTCGCCAGAAGGATTAGCGCAGTATTCTAAGGGATTATCGCCTTTGACAGGGATTCCATTGGTACTGATCGGAGACTGTGAGTTGAAGAAGTCGATCGACCGAGCGGTAACGGCGAAGGGAGCGACGCTGAGGAGGACTGCGGCGGCAGTAGATAAGAGCTTCATGGTTGCAAGACCTGAGGGACTGTGGCGTGTTATGACCTAACAGAGTGAGCGCGATGTCGGCACTGAAAACGCAGTGGGCGAGTGAAGATAAAGTATATGCTGTATAGTTTTCGAGCAGAAGAGCTTAATGGGAAGCGAAGTGATGCACGGTGAGGAGGCGAAATGGAGGAGACGAAGAGCGGTGTCATGGGACGTACCTGGCTTGGCACCCGCCGATGACGACGGCTGGGGGAAATCCACGTGATGGTGCCTGCGCCCTTTCCAGTCCTTGCCTACTGGAACTAAAATGAATGCATGGGTGATCAATCTAATTTAATTAGAGATCTCGAGCTGCTGATTTCCTTCCAATTGCAATTCTTGATGGCCTTTCCAAGTCTATGGTAGTATGGACTACGTACTTTGCTATGGAGTCAAGATACTTAATCTGGGGTTATTGACCCACCACCCATTGCTCCAGAGGGCGCAGCAAGTTACTTATCGTTGTTTACGCAAATGCCTTGTACATCAATCTCCGCAATGCCAAACTTTCATATCCGACCGGCACACAGATTATGACTTCACTCTTGAGCCTCTCGAACTTATGTATTAAATGCATTCATCATAATATAGCTATTTACAGGTTCAACCTCTGCTTCAATGCTCGGAGACAAAGATGCCCGCCATTCCCATGCCCTAAAATGAGAACCTCAGTCAGCATTGAGCAGTAATCGGCTACTCTACTTGGGGTGAACTTACGGTTCCGACACACATCGAGGTCACTGCGACTCTCTTGTTTTGACGGCGCAGCTCTGAGAGGGCGGTGACAACTTGGCGAGCTCCAGTGCAGCCCAGGGGGTGGCCGAAAGCACTAAATTTGATTAGCAGCTGATGCATCGGAAAGAAACCACGCGACTTACATAGCACCACCTCGAGGGTTGACTTTGGCCTCATCCAAGGCTAGCTTCTGCACGCAGTACGTTCCCTATGTGGAGAGTTAGTCCTTGATCGTGCTTTTATGGATTGAATGTGCGTGTACCATCGATGCGAAGGCCTCGTTGATCTCGAAGATATCAACCTCCTCCTTGGACAGCCCGACCTTGGAAAGGATCTTGGGGATAGCGATGGACGGACCGATACCCATGATTCTGGGCTCCAAGCCGGCCACGGTGGCGCCGCAGAACTTGGCCAGAATGGGTTGACCGAGTTCTTGGGCGCGGGAACGCTTCATAAGAATCAGACCTGCGGCACCATCGGTTATCTGACTGGCGTTTCCACCCGTGGTAGCGCTGGGTTTCCATTGGGGAAAGGCCGAGCGGATCTTGCCCAGCGACTCCGCAGTCGTGCCGTATCGAATACCATCATCGCGATCGACGACGATATCCTTCACCTCACCAGTCTTAGAGTCCTTGATTTGAGTCTTGACGGGGACAATCTCATCCTCAAACCAGCCTGACTTCTGAGCGTGCTCGGCTTTCTGGTAGCTCTTTGCCGCAAATTGGTCGTGCTGTTCGCGGGAGATGTTGAATTGCGCGGCGACGTTCTCGGATGTTTGGCCCATGGGCTGTGCATTCTGCGAAGCAATGGGGTGCGCCGTGACCTGGGAGGACATCTCAGGCGCGCCTCCGTCAGCATTGGTACTCATGCTCTCCGCTCCAACCGCAATGCCGACGTCAATGGATCCAGCGATGATCTGGTTGGCGATATTCTGGATGGCCAGCAAGCCAGAAGAACAGAAACGGTTGGCAACAGAAGCAGCTGCGGTTACCGGAAATCCTGCAGCCAATACTGCAGATCGTGCGACATAGGCGGAACCGGGACACAAGACATTTCCGACACAAACATCTTCAACAAGATTCGGGTCCAGGTTAGATTTTTCGCGAATAGACTAATGAATGATGCGGTCAGCCAACGGGCAAGTGGCGCAAGCAGACGCAAATAACTTACTGTGAGCAACGAGATCAAGAGGTTGTCAAGCGTAGTGTCTTTGAGTCCGCCCTTTCTGGCCTTGGTGAGGGGAGTTCTGGCGGCAAATGTGATCACCTAAGAATCTCAAGTCAGCTCCAGGCTAGACTACGTATCACGGTAGGTTGCTGTAGTGCCATACAATATCGTCAGGGTTCTGGGTGAGAAGCTTTTGCCGGGCAGAGGCAGCTGCCGGGCTGGCAAGCTGGTTTGCGATCGAAGATAACCGTTGCTGAGGGGAAGACATTGTGCTAGTTCTATGTCTTTCTTCTTTCCCACTTAAAGTTGGAAGAAATTCTTTGCCCGACTATGAAGAGGTTGCGGTGAGTATAGGAAAGAAAGTCAAAGGTCAGGGCAAAGAAACAAAAGAAAGGTTGATTCAGACATTCTTCCCCAGGAGTTGGGATTGTTTTATTAAGCTGGGGCAAACCGCCGCCGGACAAACAGCCGCGGCTCCAGCAACAACAGGGCAAGCCAGATGCAGCAAAGCAGCCGAGCCGAGATCGGGTTAGGGAGTGGGAGCGACCAGGCTTGCAATGCCGATCGAGCGGGTCTACTGTATCCAGTGTATCCACTTCTGCCCCCCTCATGAGGTTTTCTCCGCCAACCTTTTACGTACAGATGTGAATTAGGTCTGCGAGTGATCCATGGAAAGGCCGGGTGAGCATCGAGGCAGTTCAAATGGCCGATACGTAGTTCAAGCCGAGGCGTGAGTGGTTTGCTGCAGACTCGGGGAGGAAAGTGTACTGGAGTGGTAAGACTGGTAATATTGGTAAGATACGGTAAGTCCCGTCGGCCTCGGCTCAGTCGGTTGTCGGCCCCTCCGCAATCTTGGCCTCCGGATTTCCATTCTCATTGGGATTTCTTCTTTCTGTGAGTTCTCCCCGCGCGTCCTGTCAGTTGCGGGTCAGGTTTCAAGGTTATTTTGTCAGAATCCCCGTGCTTCGAGATAATGCACGGGATTCATCATGGCAGTTGAGGATATTCGAATAGAAGAGGACGACTTTGGCAACATGCCCCGACCCCGACGGTCCGACTCTGAGCGGACAGTTAATGATTAACTGCCAGACTGCTCGAGATGATGGTATTGAAGTCTACCATCTGGCTCATATGCAGAGTCTCCCTCCTCGCTGCTGGGCGGAATAGAACCATACTCTCACTACAGTCAGACCGTCAGATTAATTTGGCCAACATGATTGCATACAGAGAGCATGATCCATCTATCTACCTTCCAGTTATTGATAACTTAGCCTGCATGGATGCGACTGGACTGTTAATTACCGCCGCGGTCTGAAAGGTTGCTTAGATAAACCCACTCTGGTAACTTACAGCCGTACCAGACTACGGCAGTTCCCAGCTGTTTTGTCTCCCGACCCCAGATTCCGAACTTTCTGCTTGCCCCATTCGCCATTCGGATACCTTTAATTGTTCACTACCCCGGATCTTGACTTCTAGATGCTGTTTTTCTTAGATAACTGGACTGTCCCGACGCAATTGAGGTCCGTGTCCTTATTACATAGCTTCTGAACCCATCAATTGCAGCCGTCACTGTCCGAGTCTCTCATACACATACACATTCTCCCCCCCACCCCAAAGACGATCAAGGCTGGGGAAAAGTACTAGGTACCGTCAGCATGGAGCTCTTCTCGGAGATAAGCACATCCTCCCTTGCAATTGCATCTGCCCTCTCTGTGGCGGCAGGTGCATACCTCAATGCCAAATATTCCATTGCCAGTGATGTTGCAGCGCTGTACAAAGACAAATCATGGACAAATCGTTTGGGTCAACGCATTGCGCAACTGGGCGATACGGCCACCATCTACAAGATGCTCGAGCGAGTAGTCGAAGTAGAAGGTCACGGCGCAGACGAGGCACTCTGGTTTGAGAACAAGACATGGACATATGCACAATTGAAGGATTGTATGTGAACCCAACCATTGTCCCCGAGGTGCTTCAGTCCGGCTAACCTTATGCAACAGTGGTTGATCGATTCGCTGCTCTTCTTCACGCCAGAAGTATATGCCCGGGAGACTTCGTGGGCGTCTTCACCACCAATTCCCCGGAGATGGTCGTGACCATCTACGCACTCTCAAAACTCGGGGCTGTTGCTGCTCTCATCAACACAAACCTTCGCGGTAAGGATACGTGACGAGCACGTCTGATTGAAGTTAGGGCTGAGCTGATTAAACTGGGCAGACGACACCTTCACTCACTGCCTCAGTGTCTCCGGCAGCAAGTTCATTATCTCAACACCCGATTTGTCGCAACATGTCTGTTCGGATTTGCCACATCTCGCCTTCAACCTGACATCCTTCGAAGGGGTTTCTTCCGGTACAGCGGAACTAATCACATCAGCGGACCTGCAGCAATTTTCGCCCACGGGGCTGTCTGCTGCTAAGAGATCTCCTAGTGACCTGAGCGCACTCATCTACACCTCAGGCACCACGGGCAAGCCCAAAGCTTGCGCTATTCGCAACATGATGGGGGTAATTACATCTAACCCCCAGACGGTTGACATCAACAACCGCTCCAAGTACTACCCTCTGCGGACTTACTCCTCCCTTCCCCTCTTCCATGGAACGGCTTACTTCACTGGTATCTGTTACTCCGTTGGAAACGCCGGTACGCTCTGTCTCCGGCGAAAGTTCTCCGCGTCGCAATTCTGGAAGGACGTGCATGATTCGCGAGCAACACGCATACTATACATTGGTGAGCTCTGTCGGTATCTCCTATCGACACCCCCTTCCCCCTACGATCGCAACCATGCCTGTATAGTCGCCAACGGCAATGGCCTGCGGGGCGAGATTTGGGAGCGTTTCCGACAACGCTTCGGCGTGCCTGAGATCCGCGAATTCTATAGATCCACCGAAGGAGTGGCCAAGTTTGATAACTTTGGAGAGGGCGCGTGGGCCGCCGGCAAGGTTGGACATTCGGGCTTCATCAAGCGTATGATGGAAAACGATACCTATATTGTCAAATATGACACGGAAACGGAAATGCCCTACCGGGATCCAAAGACAGGCTTCTGCGTGAAATCCAGACTCGGCGAAGAAGGAGAG